TAACACATTTTGATTTTACTCTACTTTATGTCAGTCTAAGTGTGAATTAATTTTCATATAATTCAGATTATTCAAATAATTTAAATTAACATCTTAAAATACATCTATACGAAAATGTTGACCATAATGTTTTATACAATATGTTAATCCAAAAATGTACTATACTAACCAACTGATAGAACTCACAGACTTAATATAAGTATAACGATTGAAGCTTTAATAAACTTTATGAATAAAAATATAAAAAAAAACAGCGAAATGAATTTTCATTGATATTCAAAAGTTTAGAAGTTACAAATGAATATGAATGTTTATTCATGATGCTTTTAAGGATTTAAAATCTTGTAAAAAACCATTAGAATTATATTTTCCTTCGTGAATTCGCTTGGCCTTTGACACAAAAACATACTGTCAAAGTTGCCTAAGGAAATGGAATAAAATACATTTACAAAGTTGTTATTTTTCAAAGGAATAGTCCCAAATACATATAAATAAACATAGGTCTAGGTAAAGAGATACAAAAACTTTTAAAATGAATTTATTACATAAAGTTGTTATTTTTACCAAATTTGTCAAAAAAATTATAAAAAATGAGCGTACATACATTTAAATTTGTTTCTCAATTTTAGAAACTATATAATCATAACTCAGTATTAAAGTATAATAAAAATTACAATTTTAAACATAATCTAATTATAAAACAAATGAAAACATTTAATAAAATGTTGTTGTTATAAAACTTAAATATAAAGGGCTTTGTTTGGTTAATAAAATAACAGATTGGTAAATTATTTTTCTATATGTTTAAAATTATTTTAAGTACAAAAAACAATATTGAAAAAACATTTTATTACATAAAAATGATCAAATAAAAAACTTTAACATGAGTTAAAATGACCCGGAGGCTTTAACAATGATTATATTATCTCGGATTACTCTTACTTTGAGACAGATAAATAACAGTAAAAAAAATGGTGATGAAAAGATAACGGTGGTTTTATGTTTTTGAAGAAATATAAAAATATTGTAAAATATTCCATTTATATTTATCAATTATATTTATTTGTTTTTTTATTGTTAAAATGTTTCATATATCATGAAGTATGAGACAATCAATTTGAATGATAATAAGATAATAAATAAAAACGAATTATATATATTTTTTTTTTTTTTTTTTTGTCAAAGTACTCGGGTTCTTTGAAGTTTTTAACCAAATTATAAGTATATTACTGAATTTTTAACAAAACTATTTGATTTATTGCAACATCTAAATATTTGTAACGAAAATGTAAATATAGATATTTTTTTCGTTAGATAATTAATTGACTTTTTGGAACTATTTACCATTTATTCTTATAGGGTTAACTCTTCATTGAATCGTAACATTTAAAAGGAAGATTTATTAATTTTTTTATACAATATGCAAATCGACCATTGAAAAGATCGCTAATTGCCAAATAATTAACTAAAATATCGTTTAGTATCTAAGTTGAAGTGGATAAGAATTAAAAATACTCAAAAATATTTATCTAGAAAACAAAAACGTTGCCAATAATTTCTAAGCATTTTAAAAAGAATATAATTATTTAAAACCATTTTCAAATAAAAAACTTCCTTCTTTTTAAATTTAACTACATTTGTTTGTATTCTTCATTTACCAATGTTTATGAATTACAGAAAGTTTCCAACTTATTCTTAAATTATTGATCAAGCTCACAATTAAGATATGAAATCGTTTGATATTACTAGTAATACAAAAAGCTATCAATTTTAAGAAAATCTATTTATTAAGATTTTTTATCTAAGTAAAAATAATGTTAAGTTTTATCGTAGCTAGGTGATGTTATAAATTTAGAAACCATTTTAGATAAATTTTTTATACCTAAATAACAAATATCTAGATATCTTATTAATTAAGAAGTAAGATGATGTACAGACATATTCAGTACTTTATACTTGGAAATGATATTTTTCAAAAATTATCACATTTTGTAAAATTTATATAATACATTATGATAGAACTATTAACCACAAGGGTACTTCAAGTGTAAAGTAAACTGACATGCATCAAATTTTTTAAATTTTACCATTTATATCATAAATTATATAACTTTATTTTAAGAGGCTGATTACTAATGGAGAACAAGTCGTTGGAATGAATTTCTTATTTTAATCATATAGAACACAAAAAAATCTTGAATTTGATTTAGTTTTAAATTATATGAATGTTCCGTTTCTATGTAAAGCATTTCAAAATCTTTGTGACTATCTTTCGATCAATAAATAAATGGAAAAGGAATATTATGCAGCCATTAAATTTTTAGTTGAAATACTCATCGACATCATCACTCAAAAAGACGTAATAAGTAGAAAAAAAATACAAGCTAGAACTTTCAGAAACTTTGGACGAAACACATAAGTATAACAAGCTAAAAAAACTAATTAAAAATGGTATTTGCCCATCAATAAGATCAGGCATAATTACTCGAGCAAGGAATGGACTGACTAATATCTCATTTCAAAAAAATGCACAAATAATAAATGATATATGCTCATTAGAGTAGAACATTGTTTGAAAAGAAATTTATTTAAATAATCATCTAAATAAAAAAATATTCGAATAATAATGTTTACAAACAATTAAAAGAAATTTTTATTTGAAAAATTATCTATATGAAAATTTGCACAACGCTGATACTACAAAAACTCACTATCCAAAATACACAAATGTCAAAATAACTTTAAGCAATCACTCTTTCTTTTCTTGACCGAACAAGCACTTTACCTTTTTAAACTTACAGTATACTATCATGCGTGCATACAAAATTTTTTTTACGGTAGCCATTTATACACAGAAGATAATTCGTGGAGACAATTTTTTTTTTTCAAATAAAAGTATATTACAAAACCTTTAATTTAGTATACAGGTGTTCTGGTAGTAAGGAAACAAGTGAATTGCTATAAATAATGAAAACATTATAAACCCATTTCTTTATATATGTATTTATATATATGTCAATATTTCCAAAATATTTTCAAAAATAAAGAGGAAAAATTAATTTTGTGTGCAAAAGTTGAAATTATGAATCCCTCTCTGTGGGTAGGTAAACTGCTATATTTTCAATAAAAATATAACAAATTGTAGGAGATTACATAAGGTATCATTAAAAAAAATTAGTTTTGATATAATCTTTTTTTAAAAAAGTTACAACAGTTTTGAGTAAAAAAAAATTTATTTTTGAATTGTTCACTAAATTATTTGCGTATTGGTAGCAATCATATAATTATGAGATTAACCCAAAAGTAGTTACAGTGAAAAGTTCAGCTTTTTTTCTGAAAAATGCCCATTCAACTAAATTTCAAAAGGTCTACAAATACAATAAATCTTGACTGATACGCCCAAAATTTTGCATAATTTTTTTTAGCATTATCAACTTATATAAGAAAAGTTAAGAAAAAAATTGTTCATTAATAGTAGTCCTGTGTAATTAGTAAAGTAGAATCGATGTAAATGATAACAAACTTTTTGTATTCAAAACGATAGTATTACGTTAATCAAAAATTAATATTTAATACTATGATACATTTTTATTTTATTTGTGTGACTAACGACATTTTTGAAAACATTTTTTCATTTTATTTCAATTAAGAAAAATTTATAAGAGTACAAACATTAATTCAATGTAACAAAATGATGTTATACTACAGAAACGATGTTACACGGCACTTAAGTTATGCAATATTGATACATTAAGGTGTATCAGGTCAGTTTCTGACCTTTTTCGTGGCTTTTGTAATACATTTTATGAATGCCGTTGATAATAATATTACTGTTATTATGCCTTATAATAACAGTATGTCTAATAACTCCCAGTCTGACAGTTTGATATAAATTTTTTTATTATAGAATAACAATAGCATTTTCAGTTCATTCATTAAATATAAAAAATCCGATACCATACAGTAGACAGCTAAGCAATATTTTTCTTTGTCACACAATACAATCCTAAAACTGCCAAGTGCAGTCAATATTGCTCTTAATCCATTGTCTGTTTAAGGTGAATGTATAATTCCTCTGCAAATCAAACCCTACTATAAATTTGATAAGTTAATTTAGGTCTTTTGTCTATTCTATTTGAATACAATCATTTACCAATATCTAAATTGAACACAAGTCTTTTGAGCGCCATTTGACTGGAAATGTAGACCTCACTTAAAAGTACTGTAATATTCAACAACCGTTCTTATTGACCAGCTTCGTAGTATCACTGATTGAATTTGGCAGATACGCATAAACGGAGCCCTTTTTTATAAATTGAAAATAATCTGGTATTTCTCCACCAAAACTTTGAAAATAACACAAAATTATCATCTTAAATATTTATATGACTTTTACGTGATTTAAAACAACGTAAACAGTAATAATTGCAAATACTGAGTTAGATGAAAAAATTGTATTATTTAGCGAAGAATGATGTTTACNCATCTTAAATATTTATATGACTTTTACGTGATTTAAAACAACGTAAACAGTAATAATTGCAAATACTGAGTTAGATGAAAAAACTGTATTATTTAGCGAAGAATGATGTTAAATGTGCACTACAATGTAAAATCAAATAAACAAATTTCCTAAAGTCTGTTCTTTTGGAAATTTCATGGGGACTGCATTTTCTGCACTCCATGTTTTTGTGATTCGTCCTCCGAGTGGAATTAAAAGGGTGGACAGACATTTGTAGTCTTTGGTGAGTCTATGTTTAACAACTGTCCGTCGCAAAAGATAAATCTGATTGTGCGAGGCGGGTCTATAAGAGAGCCCTAACGTACAGTGTTAATATCCGGCGATGAATACCGGTGTGTGAGGCCGGAAAGTTGATAATTAACGGTGGAGCGGCTAGGGATTGGGTGGCGAAGACGGGTAAGATACGCGCGCGCGCGACAACAGCAGTAAAGGCGGTGGCCGCTGAATCTGGCCGCTCTACGGTACCGTCGGCGCGGCATCTGTAACACATGCATTCGGCGGGAATCAGTCGGTGGTATGCTCGCGCGAAACACGTACACGGTACAATTGTTTCCTCGGCTTGTGGTGGACGTTGACTCGACGTAAATCTTCGACCTATCACATATCTTCGCGCATCAAGTCGAGTGCTCGTGCAAAGCACAAGGTCGAGGTTTTATGCGACAATGTGCACGCCTGCAGTTGTTCTTCAGAGGCAATGACGACGAGTCAGCTTCTGGCCAATTCGCTCGGTCGGCCGAGGAGACCGTTACGTTAGTGACCGACCACCCAATGGCCACAGCCGCGTGATGCGATCGTCGACTGAGAACGGTGTCTAGTTTCGGAGTGCGATCCACAGTGGATCTTGTTACCGCGGTGGCGACGACGATATTACGGTACCTCGAGCGGTGGCGCTGTGATGCTGCTGCGTAACGACACCGCGTACGACGGTGTTGACAGAAATTACACCGACGAGTATTTCAATTGCACCAGCGGTTCCTCGTCCATCAACAATTACTCAAACTACGATTGTAATACGCCATTGGATGACGTCATCGTGAAAAATTACTGGGCCCTGTCTCTGGTCGTGTTTCCCATACTCACTCTGTTCGGAAACGTGCTGGTTATTATCAGCGTGTGTCGCGAACGGGCATTGCAGTCAGTCACCAATTACTTCATCGTCAGCTTGGCGTTGGCTGACCTTTTAGTGGCTCTCGTCGTCATGCCATTTGCCGTTTATGTGCTGGTAAGTAAGAATTATGCCGGTAATCAGTAGCTTTCGTCCGCTAGAGGATACCTTTCCGTTAATAATTGAGTACGGCCGTTGTGTAAAAAATAATAATATGCTCCGGATAAACACGAGTAGATATTCGGCAAAATGCATGTAAAATATTAACGAGAAAAACACGCGTGTGAATAATAAATAAAAGCAAAGAAAAATTAAGCCGTACCAATGTCGGATGTTTATCTATTGCTTCGTTATTATTCGATATTTTTTTATGATTATTGTTATATATCCTTTTTTTTTGTAATGTTCCATTCGAATTGAACAACAATATTTGAAAAATACAAATCAACCGAACAGTATTCGTATAGATCGTTATTGTTTTCACTGGTCCTTCAAATTTTGTGGCGGAACGATAAAGGTACACCAGATAGTGTAATATTTGATAAATGATCGGGCACCTTTTTTTATGGTCGACAACAAACAAAAAATAAATAAATAATGTAACGATGAGAGTTTGTGTGCATATAACCAGTACACGGTGTACATCTGTAATATTATGGCATGGTGTCGTTATGTTGTTCTAAATCCCAAACGCCGCATTTCAGACGGCTGCTGGTTGTCTTCTTTTTACGGAACAACGAGCGGTGAGATGTTGAAGAACTGCATAGTAAAAAAAAAAAACGGGGGGAAAAAACTGAAGAAAAACGAGATCAAAAATAAAAAGGCGTCACCAGTGCTTATGGCAACTCGCGAAAGGTCGTTAAACGCCTTTTCCGTGCCAGTGTTACTAAGAATCAACAGTATGCTATCAGAAAAATATGTCATTTTAAATATAATAGTGATTTAATTTACCAACGCTAAATCACGACGGCCATTGTTGCAATGAACTTGATGTGTTATACTTTTGTCAACCTTATCACGTTTGCTATGGACATAGTGACCACAAACTATACGTTTACTTATGACTCTTGCAGTCATGACAGGACCTACTTAAATATACTCATGAGGACTATATACACTTAACGCACTTGTGTACTCTTCGATCGATGGAAACCACTTCTATCCGATAAATCTTTTCTTCAGTGACCTGATTTTCTCGCCAAAAAATCCAGATAATATAAACATCGTTTATTTTGTAGTTAAATAAACACCCAGTCAAATACACTTAACTTTATCGAAACGCATTGGCTAAAGTTACAAGCTGATATAATGCTATTATGTTTAAACTACTGCAGTATTATTATTACTATACTTGTTAGTGTTCAAAATAAAACACTAATCCATTTATTTAGCCACCAAAAGTAATATATTAATAAAAATATAAAAGTATATACATATGTGTGTGTGTGCGTAATAATTATTGTTGAACTGTTCGAAAAATTATTCTTCGAATGAAACTGATATAAATATTTTTCTGTTTTTTAATTGTCCAAAAACAACATTCAAGTTCTGAAAAATGTTTAAACATCAATACAAAAACAATAAAACAAATGATAAATTATAAAAAATAATTTATCGTAAATTCTATAAGGTTTACGTTTCTTGCTCGTAGTCTTAGAGCGAAAAATTCTGTATATAATTTAAAAACATTTTGCAGTACTTAGGTATTTCTTTTTGATATTACACACATTTGTGCAGAAAACGGCGTCTCAAATAATATCACTTAAAAAGAGCTCAAAGCAAAAAAGTTCTATATATTAAATAATATGATTGCAAGTTTTTTATCGCTAGAACTTTTTTATTGGTGGTAAAGTATAAACAGTAAAATATTTATTTTCTATTTTAGAAGAAGTATTAAGATACAGTCTTATTAAACAATAACAAAATTGCAAATATTACATTTTAAATTCCGCAGGATCTTCAATTATATATTATTTTTTTCATTAGAATATAAAATAGATAAGGGATCAGTCTGGCCAAGTGGGTAGAATGTAAATTTCGGCGCACAAGGTCCTGGGTTGGATCCCTAGGGTGCCAAGGAGGTTTTTCTCATTGAAGGTGTCTGGTCTCTGGTGCAAGCCAATATTTATCCCAGTGGCCTAGGCAAGAACCATATTTAACACCCTAACACGTGAAAGAAGGCCACCGCCCTTTGTAAAATGTTATGTTTTAGGATGTAACTTGTAGAATATCGATTTTTTAAACTGGTATAGGTTTCAAAAATAATAAAATTAATAATTATACGTTAAGTAATAACTATCACTTCATGTGAAACCACAGAATAAAACCTCTTAAATATTTTATTTTGTCAATTTTTTATCAATATGGCGGTCACCTGTCCTTCCTCGAAGCTTAAGTTAACGAGAAATCGTTGGTACTTGGTGCAGAGTTAAAATATACTCGTGTCTCTTCCAATTATGGAACGCATGACTTAATATACAATCAACTAAAGTTCTCAAGTCTCATGGGAACTAAATAATGGCCTCAAGGAAAAATCCTAAGCACATCGTATTGAAGGCTTTATTTGTATAAATACATACACAGGGGACAGCTGTTGTTTATGGCGAATTGTTCCTATTCCCCAAACTATAACCTCTTAAATATTTGTTTGTCATATAATAGATAACAATTGAGGCGATTTTATGAAAGGAAAAGAGAAGTGTGGTAGAAAATTCTATTTACGCACAAGTGTTATTTTAGAGAACATAAATCTGTCCTTTTTTAATAATAACCAAAACCATAATATAGTCACTTGTTTCGTTAAACGACCCTAATTCCTGCACATCCTGTGTATCATGAAATATACTTTGAATGATAATACAACAATAATTGTGAGCAGATTACTGAAAACCGCTTGAATAATTCTAGTAAATTTTATATAGTTACCGTATAAATGATGTCGTCACTAATACCTATTCTAGTTATTGCGTTTTAAGTGTTTTAATGGAAAATCTCGTTACGTTCTCACACAAATGTAATTGCTGAGCCCCATAGCTTCAGTTTAAATCAAGCTCCTTTGATTGTTCACTACAAACGTCTCTGATGGCGATGGAATATATTATACCGTAGGAATAACATAAACGAATACCACAAGTAAAGACTAGCTTGGAAAAGAAAAAAATCAACATCACAAGATGTATTGTTGCTAAATTGTTACGAAATTGAATTCAATTTAAATATCAGAAAAATACGTTTGGAAATAACAAAGAGAGAAGTCTGTTAAAATAAGTTTAACTTGCTTAAATAAAATACTTCAATAAATATTAAAAAAATTTTTTTAGAAAATTTTAACAAATAAGATAAAATTTTGAATTTTTTTATGATAACCATTAAAAAATATTTATTTTAAGGCTAATGTATTAGCAAAATATGAACGCCTAAGATACTTTTTTAATTTCTAGGGTACAACAAATTTAAATAAAGGTATTTATATAATTTAAATTAAATAGGTCTAAAATTATGAACTAATAAACAATTTTACGACTTTATTAAGGTTTTAGATCAAATTTATGTGAATATAATACCATTTTTAAAACTCTTTGTTCAACTTTTACTCGAAGCTTCGGCTCAACATACGCATCAGTAAGTTTCTTTCGCATATAATGATATTACACTACTTTTTTTTTAAAGACTTTAAGAAAAATCATACATTTCTAAAGCTTATAGACTTACTATTTCCTTAGTCTACAATAACTAAAAATTTTAGTTTCAATGACTGTTGACAAGGTGATTTTTTTAACGTTAGTTACTCAATTTCTCCTAAAATAATAAAAATACTGAGAATTTATTCTGATTTTTTTTAGTTTTATCAAAAATCAAGTAACATTTATGTTTTTCCCTTATCTCCATTAATAGGGAAAATTTTATTTTATTTTAAAACGCCAAACATATTTGAGTAGCTTATTATAATTTATAATGATAAATAATTTAATTGACAAAATAATCTATGATAACTTTTGAACGGGTAATTTGGAAGTTATTCGAATTAATATTTTTATACATAGACGGGCGGTGGAGTACGACAGAAAAATGACTAATGATAAAAATAGTCAAACCTTTAAGTATATATTTTATAATCATAAAATCTTTCAAAATAACGAATTAAAAATTGTTATCGACCAGTTATTTCGTAACTGGATCATTTTTTTATATAAGTTACTTAAATATATGTGTTGCTATTAAAGGAAATAAATCTGATGCCGTTATAATGGATAAGGGACGAAACTAAAAAGTACTCAATGATAGATAAATCAAGAAGTATATGAAACAACAAAATTCTTAGTATGATATTTTTTTAAAGAAAAATTTAATGTCTAATATTACAAAAATTACTTTGCATACAGTTTAAAACTTTTTGTATAGTATAAAATAACAACAAATATTAATGACATCGAAAAACCAAAAATACTTTGAGTTGTAATTTTTTTATTCTTAATAGTATAGTACTTCTTTAAATTCAAATAAAATCACAAAGAAACTTTATAAAAATATATATACTTGATAGCAAACTTGTTACTCTTTAGAAGATCAATATATTATTTAACCGTTGTTAAATTGTATGAGATTTTATTTGTTTCCTGAAACCGTTAAAAGTTTAAACATTTCTCTTTTTACAGAAAAACATAAGCTTCTTTTGTCTTTTTTTTTTATTATACTAACCACTTTTGTTTTTACTTTTTATTCATGCTTAATATTAAATAAAAAAATTAAAACTCACTGTTTCTACATATAAGAATAAAACAATTTTCATTGAATATTCTTTATTATATACATGTATTTGATACTGTTTTTAAATGAAAAAATTAATTTGTTTATTAGCTCATTTATAAATATTTTTCTGTTAATTTATTTGTAATGTGTAATTTATTTATTGTAAATAATTTAATTTGTTTTTGCCGTTCGCTTACATTATTTGTTAAATGACATTTGTGTATTTTTTTTTAACGGGATCTTATTATAAAAATGTTTAGTTAAGTTTCTATGAATAAAAAAATCAGTTATCTTTTCGTTTAATCTAAGAAAATACTGAATTAAATCATTTATAAATAATATCTTTAAAAGTACTTAGTACTAACTCA